CCCAGACTGCTCGTCCCAGATCCACGTCAGCTCAGCATTGCCTAGTGATCCTATAAATGTAACTCAGGGCAACATAGGTTGGCTGTTGTAATTCTTGTTTTTCTAAAACACGTGGATCTGTATCGATGTGGTTGTCCTCGATGTGCTCGATGAGGTCTGCCAGGGTGGGGAAGTGGAGTCCGCAGCCCCCGAATCGGCAGGTATTGGAGAAGAAGGAGGCGGCGGCGATGCCTGTCATGGTGCTACATCGAGAGCCCCCCTGGTGTCGGCTCTGCCTGGCCTTTAACTTTTTCATCAGGATAATTGACCAGATTGATAAACTTGCCTCCATTTTTCTATCGACCGAGTTCAGATTATAGTGGCTTCTCATCAGCATCCCAAGATGAGCCCCGAAGAGACCATCAAAGCTGGCAGAAAAAGAAACTAATTTTGAAAACGGAGGGATTAAGTGAGGGTGACAAAAGGATTCAGTTTCCAGAATGCCTGACATTCAGGAAAGGGATCATCCTTTGGGTTGTGAAAAATCCCAGTTGATAGCCCCTGATCATAGCTTCACTGTAGTGCTTTGTGAAAACTGGCATTATCAAGGCAGGGAATACAAATCTTGAAAGGATAAAAGAAGTTTGGTTATGAACAACTGAAGAGTTGTTGGTGCTCCAGGTGTGTTAGGTTTGGTGATGAAGGTATCCCCTGGACAAAAGACATTTTTGTAATTTTGCTCCATCAAAAGATGGAAGAGCTTTGTCTGACCACAAAACTATTCCTCCTTTCTTGGTCCCTTCATAGCAAATGACTCTTTATACCTCTCAGTTGTGCAAGCCCGAAATTTAGGTACCACTTTTCACTGTTCTCTGTACATTATTACCCTGATACCCAATTAATACCAAGCCTCCTATCTTTTGAATACCCCTTTGCCCTAGACACTCTGCTCTGGCCTTAGTTTAGGCCATCATCACACCTCATCTAAATCATCACCATAGTCTTTCTTTGTTTTTCCTATCTGAAGTCTTGCCACCCTTCATCTGTTCTCCACGCTGCAGTCAGAGAGATGGAGAAAGTCAGACTATTTGAAATAATGTTGATTTCTGTGAGAATACTTTTTATTCAGAATGTATATGTTTTATTGTCTTTTCCTGTTTCCTACAAAAGAAAATGATGGACTAGGAAGTGTGGGCGATAGGATCTTGGCCACAGACTGAGGGAATTCTTTTTCCCCCCACAGAATCAACTAAAAAGTTATTTTTTTCAATTTGCTCAAAAGCGAGTCATCAATTCTTTGAGATCTTAAATGTCATCCTTCTCAGTTTAGGTTAAGAGCTTTGCAGAAATATGTTTTCAGAGGGCTTACAGAAAAAGGGATTTCATTATTTAGCTGTTTGGGATTATAGTTTCAGTTTTCTGTTATAATAGAAAGGTGTACTTAGAAAGGCAACTTAAATCAGGGGTGAAGAATAGCAATGAAGATTCTAGTCAAGGTTCTCCTGAATTCTGAACAAAAGTTGTCTTTCCTAGTCAATTCTGATGGTTAGGGAAGAGGGCAGCAAATTGTTGACTCTTTATTGTATCAAGTGGGAGACATGTTATCTCATTAGCTCTCTGACATAGTTATTACCAGCAGCAAATTTTACAAATAAGAATACTGAAAAAACTTGCTCCAAGATTCTAGATCTGCTAAGTGGGAAGCCAGGAATCAAACCCAGGACATGGCAGTCTGCATGGGTAAGCGTGGCTTTCCACCACCTTGACATAGATGTTGCTTTTAATACTCAAAAAAAAAATCTTTTATCAGGTGGGGTTTCCCATTCTTTTGATACGGTTCTTAAGGTTCAGTGTTTGAAACTTGCCCTGCATCAGTCAGTAAGTAGCAAAGCAGAGATTGAGATTCATGCTTGACTGCTTCTGGAGTCCATGAGTCTCAGTGATGTCTCCCAAGAGAGTGTCTGTTTATCGTCTCACAAAGGTGACTAACAGTTAAATAATGGTTTCCAGAAGTGATAGCTAGCAATAATCATAAAAATACATTATCATAAAAATATAATAATCATAAAAATACTTCACAGTGTAACATATGTGCTTAGCAAATATTGTTAAAATGAGGTTTTGACCAATAAAGTGTCAGGGATGTTAGTATAAATTAGTCAAAAGGGTGAGGGTTTCTTTAAAACTTGATCGGGGCAATTTACTCCCTATCGGATTCTCATTCAGTTCTGAGCAAAATGAAGGGCTCCATTTTCACTCTGTTTCTACTCTCTGTCCTATTTGCCATCTCAGAGGCGAGGAGCGAGGAGATTGTGAAGCTCTGTGGGCTGGAGTACAGAAGAACAGTCATATACATCTGCGCCAGCTCCAGGTGGAGAAGGCACCTGGAGGGAATCCCTCAAGCTCAGCAAGGTAAAGTGGCTCACGACTCGTGTCCCTTACTCTTTAGACCTGCCCTTTTTTTCCCCCTTAGATTTTCTTAACAGTTATTTTATTTTTGGCACTAGGGATTGTACTCAGAGGCGCCCTATCATTGAGCTACATCCTCCACCCTTTTATTTTTTATTTTATATTTTGAGAAAGGGTCTTGCTAAGTTGCTGAGGTTGGCTTCAATCTTGCAATCCTCCTGCCTCTGCCTCCCAAATTGCTGGGATTACAGGTGTGTGTCACTGTGCCTGGCTTAACAGTTATCTTAATAACTGTTTCTCTAAGAACTGCTAAGCCATTTCTATATCAGTCAGGGGGATTATCCAAATAAGCTGAATTTGGCTAGGGAAAAAGGTGAGTTACTTTTTAAAAAAAAAAAAAAAAAGATCTCATTTTCTTTAGGCTTTTGTTTGAAATCATAGGTTTGCCTGGCTCCTTCCATGAGCTTAGCATCTACTGCAGGTGTTATCGATGTGCAATACATAGAAGTAAGTAATTTCAAGGGACTGTTGGCATAGCAAGATTTTCACACCAAGATAACTACAGAATGTAATAAATTGGAATTCGGATAGGTGTCAAATAATGATGAAAGGAAGAAATTTTTATTGGGCACTTATTAAGTGCCAAGCAGTTTTATATGTATCATTTCATTCAGTCTGATAAGGATGCAAAAAGTAGGTAATATTATCACTGTTTACCATTTTACCAAGGAGAAAACTGTCCACCCAGGTGTTCAGCCATGTGGCTAGGAAGCAAATCAGGTCTATCTGGCTTCAAGAGTCAAAATATTTGTTTATTCTACACTGCACCAAAGAGAGTAAACTATTGCAATAAATGACAGCACTTATTACTTTATTTTTTTTTATAAATTAACAAATAAAATTGTGTATATACAACATATTGTTTTAATATTGTATGCACTTTGAAATGGCCAAGTTATTTAACATATACAACACTCACATATTTATCTTGTGTTTGTGTGTATGTGCATGAATGTGTGGTGAGAACACTCAAAAATCTATTCTATTAGCAATTTTCAACAATAGAACATGTTGCTATTAACTGTAGTCACCAGGTTGTACAGCTGATCTCTCAAACTTAATCCTTCCATTTAAATGAAATTTTGTACCTTTTGACCAGTATTTCCCCAACATCCCATCCTCCTGCCCCAGCTCTAGGTAACTTCTATTCTCCTCTATCTGTGTTTCCACTATTTTTAGATTCCACATTTAAGTCAGATCATACAGTATGCATCTATTTGTACTTGATTTAAAAAGGGAGTTGGGATGGGTATAGGAAAGACAGTAGAATGAATCAGACATAACTCACCTATATTTATATATGAATAGATGACCAGTGAACTCCACATCATGTATAACCACAAGAGTGGGTTCCTAATTAGATTAAGTTATACTCCATGTATATATGTAAAAATATACTACTGTCATGTATATCTAAAAAGAACAAATAAAAAATTTTAAAAGACTATTTTAACAATGGGTTTTATTTGCTATGCTTTACAATAAAAAATATAAGAACTGATTAGTAATAAATGCTGCAATTACATGTAAGACTGTAAAAATTCTAATTTAGCTTAAAATGAACTTGGTAAACAAAATATTTTAGAAAATGACCCACAGCGTTCATATTTTGGTGGTCTAATATCTTGAAATAGCATGATCTTGCCATTACTGCTTTAACATTGAGGTTTATATTACTAGGTAGCAATAGAAACAATAAGGGTTTTTAATCTTAAGAGAGTACGCATATTTACTAGGATTTCTGTTGCTCTCTAGAATACTAAACCAAAATGTACTAGGGAAAAAAAAGCATTTGAAATATCTCTGAAATATTGGGGCAGTGAAATGAACGTATAAGTCGATCTCTTTTAGACACCACCAAAATCATAATATTATGTACTAGAACTTTCACAGGTTTTCCCATATATTCTTTATATGGTCAATTACTGGTTTACCAACCAGCATTTATTCATCTAATTTTCTTGGTGCTGTTAGTGTGCTAAGGCCCTGAAAAGTAAGTTTAAATGAATTGTAAGTGAGAGAAGCTATGTAAATAAAAACAGCATGTCCTACATTTTATTTTCAGATATAGAAGTTTAAGTCTCCATGTCCTTCCTTTCTCATCAGTGTTGTAGGGAACACACAGGGTTTTTCTTTGCTTATAGCAAGTAAAAAAAAAAAAAAAACAACCTTGGGAAGCTGCTAGTTGTGGAGCAGAGGTGGCCAGCACCAGTCAAGCCTTGATCTGGCTCTAACCAGCCAATGGACACTGGGTATGTCACTCTTAACTCTTTACACTGACGTTTCCTCCTCTGCAAAATGAAGAGTAGACATGACAGGGCTGTTCCTCAAAGGCCAAATCTCTCTGAAATCAGAACAATATTTTTAAAAATCACATGTGGGATTCAATTTCATTTCAGAAATTTAATTCATTTCTTCAAGAGCAGAAGGTAGCTGCTGCCTTCTTTGTTGGGGCTATTTAAGGTAGCATTGTTTTTTCCTTTCCTACAGGTGAGAAAAGAAACTACTTTCAACTCCCAAATAGACATGAGGCTTCTGAGGAAAACATAGCCCAGGACCTGCCCAAAGTGGATTCCTCAGGCGAGGAACATGTTGGGGATGGACAGATATCCACGGAAAGGCGTTGGGAGTCAAAGAAACATTTGGTGATGTCAAGACAAGACTTAGAAACTTTGTGCTGCAAGGAGGGCTGTTCCATGACTGATCTGAGCACACTTTGTTAAGGCAAAAGCAAATTCTCCATGGGTGGCGGAGCTTTAGCATGCATTTAATCTCCTTGTTCTACTGCCTTGTAGGATGCTAGTATTCCATCATAGAACATGGCTTTCAGTTGGCAGGTTTTTTCTAAAAGCTGTATCTAGTGGTTAAAAACACAGTGACGCCTATTTTCTCCCTTTGCCAAGGTGAATGCACTCTTTTCCAATTCTAAATAATGCTTTGACATTTAAAATACTGTGCAAATTGAAATAAAAATGCCATTAAACCAAGCTCATTGTGATTTTTTTTTCTTTTAAAATTTGTGAATACCTTTCCAACAGTAAATAGAAAATGCTGATGGTAGTAAAACTTGAAAAATAGGCACTATAAAGGAGGTAAATGAGCTGTTATCCAGAAAAACTTGTTGGTTATTATGTATCACTGGAAATTTAAACATTGACTTATGGTTAAATAAGAATCAAGGTTTTTTTTTTTTTTTCAAAAGACCTGAAAATGTAGTACTTTGACACCTCCTTGAGAAAAGCCAGGGGCATATATGTGTCAATCAAGTCCCATAAACAACAGAAACTCAGAGTGTGTTTGAGCAATGAGCTCCTTCCTGAAGTCTGGGCCACCTTGATTTTGCCTCTCTACTGCAGAGATAAAAGGACATTTTGTTCTCATTCTGGAATTGAGAAACCAAGACCCAGATAGCCAAACCATTGTTGTGCAGTAGATATCTTCACAGATAAAAAAACAAGACAACCACAAAACAACATTTCCTTTTCTACTCTGACAGCCAACCCCTCAGTTGTGTTGTAAAAAAAAAAAAAGTCAAAATTTCTGTTCAACTGAAGTTCCACTCTTATTAGTACCATAGTCAATCTTTGAACACTATCAACTCCATGTCGGTGGTCATGTTAACATGCTGTGCATAGCATTTAAACCCTTCCTACATGCATTACAAACAGTACTTTATCATCAATGCACAGATAAGGAAATTGAAGTTCAGCAGAATTAAAACAAAGGGTAATAAACGAAGGAAAAGGGACAGGAATAGGAAAGACACTAGAATGAATTGGACATAACTCTCCCATGCTCATTTATGAATTCACCACCAGTGAAATTCCACATCACAGCCACAAGAATGGGAGCCTAATTAGAATAAGTTATACTCCATGTGTGTATAATATGTCAAAATACACTACTATCATGTATATCTAGAAGGAACAAATTTTGAAAATTAAAAAAGAAAAAGAAAATATGTCCTAAGTCACACAGCTAAACACAGCTAAGTGGATTGTGTTTTACTGGCTCCAAACTTAAGCTGCTCAGTATGAATCAAAGCAGTCATACTAAACTGGTCTATTAGTCAAAGTGTTCTTTACCACCAGGTACTCATGATAGGATAGAAGAAATAAGAAATAGGTAGAAAAAAGGCATGAAGGAAGAACAGGAAATGAGATTTTAATTTTTTTAAAACTATATATATGTAGATATATATAATATATATAAGTGGTTGATGAACCTTTATTTATTTATTTATATATAGTGCTGAGAATAGAACCCAGTGCCTCACACATGCCAGGCAAGCACTCACTGAGCCACAACTCCAGCCCCAGATTTTAATTCTTAAGTTCCACATACTTTTCCAAGCATGTTACTTGGTACACCAGTCTGTCTTGCAGGACTGTTAAACCTGCCGATTCCTGGGAAATCTGTCAATCTACCTGTACATTGTTAATTAAAAAGAGAGATCTGATATCATGAAAAAAAGATGTAATTTAGAGGACTTTTCCTGATCAGATAATGAAGACCATGAAAGAGATCACCAGACTGATACCATTCCCACATCCTTCCCATACTCAATCCCTCTCCAAGCATCCTTTAGAAGAAGAGCTGGGAACTAACTCCACAATGCATCCTTAACATTCTCCCTCAATTCTCCTTGCTTTCCCCCAAGGTGTGTCTCTCTCTTTTATTTGTTATGTTCATTTAATGAATGTCCATAGTATAATCAGAATGTTTTAAGATAAAACAAATATTATAAACAAGCACATAATGTAAAATAGTTAGGAAACAAGAAAACCAGTGAAATCAAAGCATATTGAATCAAGTTTCAAAGTGTTTAAGACAAAACAGTGGTAAAATATTAACTCTGCCAACTTCAAAAGAAATACAGGATTCTTAAAACTTGTAGTATAAAAAGACTTGTAGATTATAAGTATTTAAGACAAGTTTCACAATTGAGAATGACTTTATTTCCTTGGAGATGGCAGGCCTACAGAAATCAACTGCCATTACTTAATAGTAACATGAAAATCAATTTCAGTTGCATTCTTTTATACACACACACACACACACACACACACACACACACACACACACCAAGGATGGAACACTGAGGACTCAACCACTGAGACACATTCCCAGCCTTTTCTTTTATTTTCTTTTTTCTTTTTGTATTTTATTTAGAGACAGGGTCTCATTGAGGTGCTTAGGGCCTCACTAAGTTGCTGAGGGTAGCTTTGAACTTGCAATCTTCTTGTCTCAGCCTTCCAAGTTGCTGGTATTATAGGTGTGCACCACTGCACCTGGCTCAATTTCAGACACATTCCTTTTAAAAATTTTTTTTAAAAAATTTTGTAGTTGTAGATGGACAGAATGCCTTTATTTTACTTGTTTATTTATATGTGGTGCTGAGGATCGAACCCAGTGCCTCAGGCATGCTAGGCAAGCACTCTGCCACTGAGCTACAGCCCCCAGCCCCAAACACATTATTTAAAACAAAACAAAACTAGAAAAGACCAGCAAGGTCCACGTATTTTATCCACAGTAATTGGGAAAAAACTACTATTTTATTGCATTAATGTGTTATAGGTACGGTGCTAAGAATTTTACATACATTATCTAAGTAAATTTCACAAACACATTGAAACACCCTATTACTTTTATCCTCATATTTTATGTGAAAATATGGAGGTACAAAGAAATTCAATAACCTATCTGATGCTACAGAATAATTAGTAAAGCAAGGGCTCAAACTGCATAATCTTTTTTTTTTCTTTTTTAACTACTGGGGATTGAACCAGGGGTTCTTTACTACTGAATTATACCCCCAAGCCTTTTTATTTTGAGGAGGGTCTCACTAAGTTGCTCAGGAACTTGGAATCATCCTGCTTCATTCTCCCAAGTTGGCTTGGCTATCTGGGTCTTGGTTTCTCAATTCTAGAATGAGAATAGAATGTCCTTTTATCTCTGCAGTAGAGAGGCAAAATCAAGGTGGCCCAGACTTCAGGAAGGAGCTCATTGCTCAAACATACTCTGAGTTTCTGTTGTTTATGGGACTTGGTTGATACATATATGCCCCTGGCTTTTCTCAAGGAGGTGTCAAAGGACTACATTTTCAGGTCTTTTGAAAAAACACCTTGATTCTTACTTAATCGTAAGTAAATGTTTAAATTTCCAGTGAAAATATACAATGACAAGTTTTTTCCTGGATGAGATAACAGCTTATTTTACCTTCTTTGTAATGCCTATTTTCCAAGTTTTGCTACCATTCCTGGCTCAAACTATATGACCTTTATTGTTTCGTTGTAATTGATCCCATCTTAGACTGAACAGTCAACAAAGACCACAAGCTTGCACGAGTAGTTGGGATGTACCAATGGAGAACATCTCTACAACTTTGATGATTACATACATAATGACTTGCAGAAATGAAAACACAATGTTTCCAACATTAGAAATAAAGTGTAGGAGAGTGGTTACCAGAGACTCAGGAGAAGAGGGGAAAAAGGTGTGTGTGTGTGTGTGTGTGTGTGTGTGTGTGTGTGTGTGTGTAGGGGGAAGAGAATGGCCAATGGATATAATGTTACAATTAGGAGGAATCAATTCTAGTGTTCTATGGCATGGTAGAGTGAATATGATTGATAATAAGGCATTGTAATATCCTCAAATAGTTAGGAGAGAGGGTTTTGAATGTACTAACTATATAGAAATGAGAGATTAAAGTTACAGATAACCTGATTACTCTGATTTAATCATTACTCAATTTATATATCAATTAATTCAGCACATAATGCCTTGTAAGAAGGTACAAATATCATGTCTCAACAAAAAAAAAAATTAACAAAATTAGAAAAAAAAAAAGAAAAAGAAGAAGAAAGGAACCACTTCACATCTATGATGAAGCCTGGGAAAAGAAACCAGATGTCTCCTAGGTACAGAGACATCTGATCACACACTGTTGGCCCAGCAGTACTAAAAAAGACAGGCAGACAGGTTATGGGAGGAACTGATGGAGCAGAAGTTGAACTCTACTACCCAAAAGAAGCTTGGTGGGATGTTGAGGAGAAAATATGATAAACAGCACGACAGGTAAATGGATCTAGGTATACAATATTATCATTTATTTGTAAAAAGGTACTTCTGAATTGATTGGTTCACATTCTTGTCTTATTACATTATTTATTATTCAATAATTATTTAATTAGAGAATAAGGTACCAAACGCTGTTTTAGATGCTGAGGATATATTTGTGAATAAAATAGACAAAAAAGGTGAATATTTTCAAGGAAGGCAGCTGTAAAGAAGAGAAATATCAGATAATGACTGATTCTGAGAAGAAAATAAGCCATGGAAGGGAAATAGAGAGGCTTGGGTGGGGGCAGAGGTCTCACTGGGAAGGCAGCCACTGAAAGAATTTTTGTAACAGTGGCGGTGGACATCCCTCCATGGAGATGGCTTCAGTGTTCCTTACTCTGAGTGACATTTGCTGATTAAAAGTAAATACACCAAGGGCTGGGAGTATAGTTCAGATGGTAGAATACTTGCCTCACATGCGCAAGGCCTTGATTTCAACCCCAGCACCACACACACAAAATAAGTAAACATAAAATTATAGACAACAAAGCAATATATTTAATATATGCATAAATTATATATACTCATTATTTTTGCTTATCTAAAGAGCTGTATTATACTACATATTTATCAAGTACTTATTTTGTTAAAAATGTCTTCTAAATTTCTAATTTATTATATTTATTTTTTTCATATTTTGGTGCACTATAATTATACATAACGATGGACTTTGTTGTTACATATTTCAAATACTTATTTAATTTTATTATATTATGCTTTTCTCTTTTGCTAATGTGAAGAATTATATTGGTGGTGTTTCCTTATTTTGAAATTACTCTGTTCAGAATAAGTTTGACAATGGTGTAGTATTCTTCAAATATTCAGAGGGA